GCGGTTTCGGTCAAGGCCCCGAGTTATCTGTGTGCCTAAAGTGTTAAAGTGACTTCTATACTTGTTTCTACATATACATTTTAAGTAAGTCATTTCTAATACCAGATTGCAGTAAATAAATTTAACAGTATGAACTATTTTATCGAACACAATCATCTATATTAGCAAACGTTGAATACGTAATATTTATAAGATATCTTATCTAAATGCAAGGAAACCATTATTGTAGTTATGGCAGCTATGTTTTCTACAATATGAATGTAGACACATACACAAGATTGATAAAACAATCATTTCTGTAAATCTTGGCACATACGTACAGACATATCATCGTTTTAAAGTACAAAATCGCGTATCGTCATTCTGCTAAACCGCGTAACTGACATTTGCTGCCAAAAATTTGATTTGCTCACAGAAGCTCTTGGCTCAATCCTTATCTATTCGTCCTGAAACATACTAGCCAGAAATGCGAATGCTTTATAAAAAAGAAAACCATTTTGAAATATGAGTGTTTTTACTCTGTAGTAAAGAATTTATGAAACCTCACATACGCGGTTTTGCATTATCTTGATACGCGATTTTGCATTTTGTTGATACACGGTTTTGTACTTTAAACGACGATATGTATGTGTTTTATACATATAAGAGATAAAATTACCGGCCGAGTCTTTACGTGGGTATTTAGGTTAATACAATGTAAACTGTAGGTTCATACGTATGTTTAGCGTGAAGATTGAAAAAATAAATGCCTATGTATGTAAACATATGTATATGGGTAATATCTTTTAAGCCATCCATAAATTTGGTGTAAACTGAGCAGTTCTAATTTTAAACCAAAATTATGCAGAGTTAACTTAATTAAATTAAGTTAAATTACCGACCGACTATTGACGTGGGTATTTGGGTTAATATAATGTAAACTGTAGGTTCATACGTATGTTTAGTGTAAAGATTAAATAAATAAATGCCTATGTATGTAAACATAACATATGTATATGGGCATTATCTTTTCGCACTCCATAAATTTGGTGTAAACTGAGCAGTTCTAATTTTAAACCAAAATTATGCAGAGTTAAATTGTGAACACCTGCGGCTTATTAAGCAAGTGTACTTAATAGTAATGTAAGTATACTAATTTCCCAAAAAAAAGTTAGCGAGATTTTTTTTTTAATTTTCTTTTTCACGAAGGATTGCTTCTATATGCTCTAGGCGCATTTGTACATATGTATGTACATAGCTAACAGCAAGTCTCCTAAAAAGGTTTTGAAGTGAAATCGAAAGCGTTTGAGCGAACAACTGATTTACATACTGATATTAATATTTAGTTAATGGACTTTCTCGTAGAAGTTAGGCGCAAATACTTTAAAAAATTTTGTTGTTTATTACAAAAACCACTTAATATACTATTAAACAGGTCAATAAACTTCCGTGCAAACAGCTACATATAAATTTAATTATGATTATAGTGCCATAAATTATAAAACATTAACGAAATGTTAGATTGAATTTTAGCTACTTTCTTACCTGGACAGGTTTCGGTTCGACAAACATGTCCGGCTTGGGTCCGCGAGCACCCAAGCTAAGACTACTGGTTGGACTACTAGTGGCTGGCGTACCACCTCCTATCGGAGTCGCATCGCTATCGGATGAGGGGTTAACACGCACAGCCGGATCTGGAAAAATAAATCCATCTTGCGTTTGCGTACTTTCAAGTGATAACTTGCATTTGCGACTGTAAAAAAAATGGAATTTTTGGAAACTCAGTTGATAACAGATGCCATTTTGTTCTTTGATCTGATTTCCTGTTTCAGAAGCATACATAATACTACAAACCTTAGGGTAGAAAGGCGATTGGGCGTTGAATCTTCAGCATCGAAAAATTCTTCCGAACTATCGGAATCTGTTTCTGGCTTACTCATTTTGTAATCTTAATATATCCTATACTCCGAATACTTAACAGTCATATACATACATATGTAAGGCGTTGCTTAATTACAATAAAATTGAATTATATTTTCGACTCTGGCAAATTTTCAGTTTTTACGTCATTCTTCAGCACAATTTCAGTTTCGCTGACACTTCACAACCAGGCAATTTTATTTCGCGGTCTTAAAACCACTTCTTTTCTAACACATTTCACTACGTTTTATTTCCAGTTTTGATTTTTAGAATTAAGTGCAATTTATTGATAAATTGGTATGCACAAAAAATTGGTAAATTTTCTTTTGTGGAAACTGTGTGACTGCGAATTTAGAATCAAACCAATAGAGAAAATGAAAGGGAGTGACGGCCAATGAATGACACATAACTCAGCCATGATGGGAATGTCTTCGTCTGAAGAGGAAGGAACGAATGACACGAGCAAAACAAATTTAACATTAAACATTTAGAGCGGGGCTACCATGAACCAAAAATACAAGATCACGTAAGAACGCGACGTTGTATTTGTAACTGGTTTTGAGAAAAAAGCTTGCGAAAGCGGGTTCGTCAGCTGAGCGTTTGTTTGCATCACAAGTACCACTATTTTACACTTTTATTCAAGTAAAGAAGAGTTAGTTCAACATGACAACACATTTTAAAGCATTTTGTTGCATCATTTTACCTAAATTGTGCGTTTAAAGTGGCTGACAATAATTTTGGGTAATTTTGGTTTTCGTTGTTTTCTTTGCTTTGTTTACTTTTCGCCAGGGACCGTAACAGTTACAATTTTTATTACAAAAATCTCTCTTTAACAATTATTTTTTGACTTTTATTTAATTACTCTT